GCACGGGTTTTCACACCAAAAGGCCGGGGGCCGCCAGCCGTACCGAGCGGGCAGCCCCCACCGGCGGCCGGGCACTTGTCCTACCCCCAACGAGCACCGTGAAGCTGCTCCCCCGGGCTTACATAGCGACTACCTCCAAATGTGTGAGCTGTACTCACAGTAATTAATATTAATTCTCCAGATAAGTAAGAGTCCTCATATTTAGTTTCTTTTGCTTCGTGTAGCCAGAAGCTTGCTTTCCTTTCCTCTTCTTTGTTTTTAATACTCCTGCAAAATATGGAAACTGTAAGCAGAGACTCCATAGTCCAAGCCCCTGGGAACATGTAACTAATGCATGTCTTCTGTCATCCAGCTTGTCTGCTTTAGTATACAGCAAAGATACTCTCCCCTCTCCCCTTTCCCCTCCTCTCCCCCCTCCCCTCTCCTCCCCTCCCCTCCTTTCATTTTCTTCTCTTTTCCTTCCTTTCCCCATCTCTCTGCCTGTCTAATATTTCAGTGTTGAGCATACTTTTTTGGCTCGCAAAGAGTGCTCACAGTTCTGGCCCAGCCAAAGGCTCTTGCCTTCGCTCTTTGCCTCCCTGGGACAGCTCTTTCAGCTGTTATGTCTGGAAATGACCCTGGTGCTTCTGCCGCTGGCATAGAGTGCTCGGTGGGAACATCTGTATTTTTTAAATGCACGGGGGAAATAATAGCTGCAAGACTGCTCTGAGGTCCTGAAAGCTTGGTTTACATGTGAGGTTTAAAGACTCAGGACTCTTCACGTGAGGCCTGATAGCAGTATGATGGAAAGCTGTCCATCAGCAGTGGTGGTAGGGCGGTGGCATCGTGGAGCCTCAGGCTGCAGGGTGCTACCCCATGGCACCAAGCTGCCCCACGGACTGTCAAGTGTCTGGGTGCCTCATGCAAAGCCGCGAAAGCACACAAGGAACCGAGACCTCCATAAAAACTGGAAACCTCTCATCCTGGCCTGGTGTGAAACCTCCCAAATGGGGTCTGGGCCAAATCTCGCCACGCCAGTCAGGGTGCCCAGCGCTGCCCGTGATCAGAGCACTTATGGGGATCATGCTCAGAGTCTTATTCGCAGGTGCAAAATCCCACATGTGAGTTACTGGGCACTTTGGGACCGGTCTGTTCTCCCATCAGTCAACTAAAATATATCCTGTACACTCTCAATCACCGTTAGGCACCCACAGAGCATGGAGAAACTGGTGGCTGATGTCCCTCTCATGATGCTGTCTGTTGGTGGCCGCCACCAAGGACCCATGCTGTGTGGAGATCATGTCCTGCTGGGCTACAGCTGGTGCTGGGAAACTCCTGCTCCCGGACGGGGCTGGCTTGTGCCAACTGGTGGAAGGGGAAGTGCCCGGGGGATATAAATTCCCACATTTGGTGAGCCGGGAGAGAGGATCTCACTGGTTCCCTAATGGCAGGTTAAGTATAGGGGATTTTAATTGCAAATTCTTCCACAGGGGAAGGGAAGCCTGGGTATTACTGAACATTTTAAAGTCATTTACATACAATAAACTGCTGTAAGAGCCATTTGCTTGAGTGCAGTCATGCATGCAGAATTAGGAAGTGCCAAAAATAAAATTACATCTTCAATCTTCGTTTGATCCCTGCATAATGCTACAGATTCCAGCTGCAAGTTCATGGACATGGTCTCAGTCAGTGCACATACCCGACAGCACTTCAGGAATCACCACCACTGACTGCGAGAGCATTTTCAGACCTTCTGTGTGTGTGTTCCCTCAATTTATTTATCATCTGCTCTAAAGAGTCCAAATCTTCAATTTCCTCTAGGGTATCCTCTGCTGTTGTTCACGGTGCTTCACAACACCCCTGCGAGAGGTGAGGTGTTACCATCAGCCCTGTTTCACACATGGGGCCATGGCGAGCGGCAGTCAAGCTCAGAAGTGGAAGCTAACCTCGGGGGTCCAGTGTGAGGTCGGTTAGGACTGGGTACTTTTAAGGCATTTACTGATTTCAGGTCCAGGTACTTTTCCAGCCTGGAGATCAGACCAAGCTCCCACAAAATGAAGCTCGGACATTCAGGAGTACAAAAGTGAAGTTCAAGTGAAATTCCCAGCCTTGGCCAGAAAAGCTAGAGGACAAGCAGGATAAAAATCCAGTTCTCCAAGATGGTGCAGAGCTACCTTAACCATAGGACCCTTCTCTCTCTACAAGATACCGCATCCTTCATTCCACCATTCCCTTCTTCTGCAATAAGGGCAGCAATGCTCTTGCTAACAGACCCCCTCGCAACCCCGTCCAAGGTCATTCCCCAGGCCCAGGAACTGGCCAGAGGTAAAAGCTGCTTATGGGCTTCAGCCTGCAGCAACCAAATTCATTGCTTCAGAAAATGGCAAGTCCACGGCAGCCAAATCGCCGCGCAGTGGTGTGTAATAGTTTCCATACAAACTCCTCAGCCTGACATTTTCGGCCAGTTTCTTTTTCAGAGACGTATTGCAGCTGTCTCCCTGTGGTGGGTTACCTGAACTGCAAGGGGAAGACAGCCTGCATGGAGCGTTTCTCCTCGCTGGTGGGTCCTCGACCGCAGTGTCCCGTGCGGGGTGCTATGGCCGC